CCTTTTATTTTGTCGTTAAAACTCAAAGTTTTCAAATCTTTTTCATTAATTTTGCTTTATTCTAATTGACTGGAGTAGTGTGATCCTCCAGGTTTGATTATCTAGCTTTATGCAAAAGCTCTCTGCTCTCATAGTTCATTTTTCTAGTTAGTTCTTTAGGGTTATCACTTTAGGCCTAGGTACTAGGAGGCGAAACTCTGTGGGGTTACTCACATATTGTAGTGAATCCGACATCCTTCGAGTTCCTAGATGTACACGGAGGTTCTTCGCATCGTGGAGCATTTGGTGGTGCTTGTAGGATAGTGTCGTGGTTCCTATTTATTTATATATATATTCCATGTAAGAAAGGTTGAAAAAACATGGATTCCTACTTTGTGAAAATTTGTTTTTGTTTCCTTTCATATTTTGTTTTATTGCTTGGGTTATATTCTTTATATTTATATGATATTCTATTTTAATTTTGGTAAAGAAATTCCAAGTGGTTTGAGAGAAAAACGAAATCCTAATTTCGAAAGCAAAAGCATGTTTTTTCCAAGATTTTTGGGAGCCTTTTTTCGTGCGTTTAGGGTCGTTTCTAGGAATCACTCAAGAAGACTTAAACAGATTTCTAACATCTTAAAAAAAGCCTAAATAGTAATATTACTTAATTGTTCATGAAGGGATATGACCAAAATAAATCATCAATTAATCGATTGCTTTGATTCTTAACCTGACCTATATGAAACTCCTTTTATGCTTGCAATTCATTCCTTAAATTTCCTAATACTAATTAGGTTCTACTACTTGAAAACTTTCGACAGCCATGGAGACCTTAATATGTCATAGTCTTCATTATTTTTGTCCCGCGGCCATGGCCCATGATCTTAATATATATGTTTTTTTCGATAAATCTTAATATGTTATAGTCTTCCTTCTCTGATTTTTCTTTTGGTCATTTTGTCAAAGTATAAATTGTTATTAAATAAGTTTTGTAAATCAGGCATTAGATGTGACAACTCATCTCTAATTTTAAATTTTATAAATTTTAAAGTAATGATTTTACGAAAATGCCCTTACATGCGAAGATGTTTGACTTTTGTTGACCGTTTGAAATCACAATTAATGTCTCCGAATAGATCTCGAAGCCGCGAAAGCATAAGCAAAAGCCATTTACGAGTCCGGGTTTTAACGGTATAATTACGGACATTTGAAGTCGTTTTACTAAGCTATGAATTCTAGCCAATCTCATCCATTTTTCAAGTGAAATTCAACAATCCATCACCTGCAATATCTTCTACAACCTCCCCTTTACCATCTCCATCCAAATTTAAAAGGTTTTAGGTCCACAACCGTGTAGAACCTCATCAGAGCACCGAAGGTGCTCGACGGTGATTCCTTCCATCCGGCGAGTTTTACCATCCACAACTACCCTTAATCAACTTCCCTTGGACCCAGAAACAAGACCCAACTAGTGGTAGAGACATTGGAACACCAAGGAAGAAGAATCGAAGTTCACCCATTTTAGGGTTCCAGTGGGCTTGAGTGAAATTGGAGCCTTTCCCGACCAAATTGGACTTAAAACTTTCTCTACTCTTTGAGATCTTCATTAATATAAAATTTGAGAATTTTTGGAGATAGCTGAATTTTCAGGCAAATCGGGGCGGCCGACTGCCATGTGCGGCGGTGCGTGAGCTGAGTCACCTCTTAACCTTCCTAAGCTAAGCTTGACACACCAATTCCATAGGTGAAGTTTGATTGATGAAATCTCATCATTTGAACATAGTTTTGATAAAGACAGCTACTTGAACATTATGTGAAATTGACGATCCGACCGTTGAATCGTCACCAAACCTTAATACATTATAGTACTTAATATTTGAGGATATTAGAAACTTACGGATTGGGAATCTGATTTACGGATCTTCTCGAATTGGAATTGTAAGTTCGTCAAATAAAACGTTGACCGCCACTTGAATTTTGCAATTGGCTGAGATCCAACTGTTGGATCATAATGAAACCTTAGTATGATGTTCTAAAAGCATAATGTGGATCTTTATAAGTTACAGATCGGGAATCCGAGATGAGGATCTTCCAGATTGAGTTACGTAGGGTTGTGGACCCTACCGTTGATCTTTGATCGACGATTGATTTTTGGTCAATGGGTCTCAAATCATTCTAGAACGTCCTTGGAAATGTATTTTTGTAAGTTACGTGTTCTATCAATAACAATTCTGAGACATGATTGAATATTTGTTCTAGGCAACGATCGTTCGTGACGCCTCGATATTCATGCTAGGGAGTTGTTGTGCGAACCTCAGGTGAGTGGGTTTTTTCATTTTTATAGTATATATATGATTGATAGTTCCACTAATGCTTTTAAATTGATTTATGCATTTTATGCCATGTTAATATAGATTTTAAAATACTAAGATATGGTTGAGTTTTAGATTGCATCATGGCATATCCATATACATATTACCTGCGTATAATTGTTGTGAATGCTTGGAAGTGTTAAGGTGAAAACGGGACGTGCAGGTAAGTTTAGGTGAGTTTATGGTGTTATTTGAAATGACTGAGTTATGGCTTGACTCTATTTATGTTATATGCAACTCTGACACTGTCGTACAGGTTGCGATAGGCAACTTCGACACTGTCATGCAGGTTGCAATAATAGGCAACTCCAACATTGTCGTACAGGTTGCAATACTAGGCAACTCCGACATTGTCGTACAGGTTGCAATAATAGGCAACTCCGACATTGTCTTACACGTTGCAATACTAGTCAACTTTGACACTATCGTACAGGTTGCATTAGACAACTCTGACTCATGTGTTATCACACATTTATTTATGAGTCGTACAGGTTGCGTTAGGCAACTTCGACTCGTGTGTTATCATAGATTGATGAGTACCTAATTTTTTTTATATATTACTGCCAATATGTAGTGATTTGGAATATTCCTGGATTTACTATTGATTTACATTTGATTTCATACTTATACATAGTATGATTTCCTAGAAACTATACATGTATTACAGCCAAGGATTATAACGTTTAGAAGGTCTTTATTAAAGTGTTATTTTCAGGCCCACTCACTCTTGTTTTTTTATCCCTCCAAGTTCTAGTAGCAGAGTTTTCGTATCGATGAGGATTCGTGGTAAATCTTGGTATTGGAGATTAGCTTCGATGGTATGATTTTCAATCCACTCTACTGTACTTTACTTATGCTTTGACGTCACGTGTGAAATGGGTTTATTTCCACTCATAGTGCACTTTTGTTTTTAGGCACTTTTAGGTTTAAATTTATTCACATTTTCCACATCACTATACTTTATAGCTTCCCCACCCTCCAAGTGGCAGCCAACACAACTTGATTCAGGGAGTCTTAGTTGACATTCCAAATCGGGGTGTGTCATCAGACCAATTTTTTTTTTTAACAAATGATATTATTTATACTAAGGGGAGGGATTGGTTTAAGTCTCACAATGTTCTAACATAATGTGGTTCAAATTCGCCTTTGGGGAGAATCAAATTTAAGACCTCTCACTCACAAGTGAAGAGAGATACAACTAGATCGTAATACTAAGTGGCGGCATTAGACCAGTTTTTGGTGCAAATGAAATCACTTAGAACCAAATTGTGAAATTTATAGTATTTGGCATGCACAATACTTGGCTCCTTACATGCATCATTCTTCACTTACACAATGACTATTTGTCATTTTATTGTTCAATCGTCAAAATACAAATTGTTTATTCTCTTTTATCATCTAAAAATTGTTTGTTAAAAAAATCATTCAATTAAAGAGGTTGTTTAGCTACTCATATGTGTTAAACAAATTGACTGTTATGGTAACAAATAACTTCCTCATAATGAACTATCAATTTCTTTGATTCATATGGATGATTAAAAGTTTTTTCAAATTGAATCAATTTTTTGACGATTATCTTTAAACAATGATTATGGAAGTGAATGGGTTCAAATATGTCTTTCTATGGTAAAATGATGACACATCACTATATCTATAAAAGAAGGAATGCCGACTTACAAATGAGAAATCATGCAATTACCACTCAAGATGCCATAATATTACGTTTAACCCTTCTTCTTTTTTTTTTTTTTTTTTTTGTTTGGAATAGAACAATATTTAATTAATTGGAAAAAGGTCATTATAGAAATATATTCATAAGGAATTTAAGTCCAAAATAGTCATTTCAAACTAGATTTAAAAATATCATAGTACATCATTAGTAATTGCAATAAGCAGACTTTCAACATCGACTAACCGTGAATCATAAGATTACAAGGTTCAATATAAACGCTAAACTTGTGTAACACAGAGATGTGAGAACAAAATCTATCCAATTGTATTCAGATAGGGAGTACGATGGCTATAGTCTACCCGCATGACCTAATCACCGCCATGAATACATAACACCAAGTAAAGTAGGCTCAATAAATCAAACAATTATACCCCTTTATACATGGATCTCAAAGAGATCGTACACACCAATACGAAAACTTGAAAGAAGAAAAAAAGGGATTGTGAAGAGAAAAATAAAAATCAGCAAACTCCTCATGAGTTTTTAAAAATTATTTACATAATCATAATTAAAGGGACAAAATAGTATCACGAATCTACATCCTCCTAATATCTCGAAGAGAACCATAGTGTTGTACCGACTCAACTCTAAAGCTCCGGAAACTCGAAAAATTTCATGCCTTGCAGCCCTAAACCTATGTTGAAGGTGCCAATTAAAATTAAAATGTTGTGTTAGTTGTGTTCGCAAGGCAAAAGACGTCGACTACCCAACTTGTTTCACGACAATAATTTGACGCCAAGTAGGAAGGGGAGAGAAGGAAAAGACAGAACAAAATATTAACAAGGATTTATATGATGGTTATGTTGATTTTGCCATTTTGTATAATAAACATGTTGATCTTGCCATCACCATAGTCAACCCTGCAAATCATTTTGACACTTCACGTGCTCTTTCCCAAACCCACTTGAGCGTTTGAGTGAGATAACAAAATACATTTTTATACATTTTAAATTATTAAAGTTCAACAAAATACAATCGAGATCTACGCCCAAAGACAGGAGGCCACCGGTCCGCCGAACACTCCGGATACTTAGGTGACAGTTAAACCACTCCAAAGCACCTACGCTCTCTCATCTTCGGCGGTGGGTTCCGCCTCCTCCACAACTTCATCATCAAAAACGTTATCGTCGCCGTTGATCTGATCAAGCACGAGCACCACTCCCATGGCAAACGCCCCATCGAATCCACGCTTGAGACAGAGAGAGAAAACGTCCTTCCCGAGCACCACGTGGGTGGAGGCATCCACTTTGCGTCGGATCTCAGCCACCCGTTCCTTCTCTGCATTGAAGATCGTGCAGCAGCGCTGCGCGAACGAGCCCTCGATATGGTACTCCTCCCCTGGATCTCCGAACACCTCCACCGTCACGTTCGACCGTCCGATTATGGAGGACCGCCGTACGCTGAAGATGGGCTTTTGGCCGTCCGTTCTCTCACCCACAAAGCCTTCCCACCGTTGATGCAGACTCGGCCTCTGTTAAAGTTTTCAACAACAAAATATTAGAACTCGAGTTGACTCACTGGGTGTTAAATCGTTTTCATGGACGGGTTTCCAAAATAAGCAAGCGAAAACGGAAGTGAATTAAACCCAATTCTCGAATCGGAAAGCAAAATTATTTCCAGCGCACGTGCATGGAAGCAACGAAAACTGTTAACTCGCTGAGTTAACTCAGTGAGTCTACTCGCGTAATTGGAGGTTCTTTTTTGTTTTTACGTTACCTTTCGGCGTACAGTGAGGAGGCAGCGGCCTTGGGGGTCCATGAGGACGAGTTCGCTGCTGTCGTGGGCGTCGGGGGCGTAAGAGTCGACTCGGAAGACCATCTGGCCTTTGCAGTCGTAGACGGTGAAGCCGTCGCCGGGGAAGAAGATGGAGGTTTTGGAAACGGTGAGGTGGGTATCCTGATCAAATACGAACGCAGGTTCCACAAGCACCCGCTCTTTCATTTTCTTCTGAATTTTTGGGTGTTTTGAGGTGCCTGATGCGAATCCGTGAGTGGGGAAATATGGACGTTGTGAAGAGGAAGAGAAGAATATTAGAGACTTTGAAGGTAAGAAAAGTTAAGGGGACGAGGAGTATTTATACTGAGAGAAAGGGACGGGAGAAAACTTAGACTATAGTAAATTATAATGTTAACTATTGTCACAGAGTTTTACTTACTATCACCGCCACACATGGACTTATCAGTTCATTCTTTTTATTAAATTAAATGTATATTCTTACAAAATGCCACTCTTTTACTATTTTGAGGAAATTAAAATGCCCCACTCTTTTTATATATTTTTTATGAAATATTTCTGTGTTTTAAATATTTAATTAGACCGCTTTGACTAATAATTACCTAAGTATTTTTAAATTTATTTATTTACGTGTCATTAGTTTAATTTTTAAATGGAAAGTGTTGCATGTTGATTTCCTACTTTTAAGGGATATTATTAACATCCGTTGACTATTAAATGGATATTAACTATTAAAAAATAATAATAACAAAAAAACTTAAATTTTAATAAAAAAAGACATAATTTTAATATTTAAAAAAAAAAAAAGGGACGCGCGAACCTGCGCGCCTCTCACCCAAACTATTTATGAAACTTAATTGTAGGTTTGCACGTCCCTCATACAAACTATTTATGAAACTTACTAGTTACTACCCTGTTTATGAAACTTAATGGTAAATGCTCGTCCCAAATTTTCAAGTTCTTTTACCAGAATGCAATAAAAAGATTATTTATAAAAAATAAAAATAAAATAAAATAAACATGGTAGAGATCAATGTCCACGTCGTTAAAGTCATGCATGGCTAATAGCTCAATACCATTACTAGAAAAATGGGTGATGAATCCAACAATGTTGTCGATGTTGCCCCACCCCTACCCCCAACCATCCCAACCCTCATAGAAAAGAGAGAAAACCCCTAAAGCTAAAACATGTTGTGTGTACCCATCCAACATTAACCAAGTGAGTGATATTACTAGCACATCAAATTGATTACTCCATCATCCATTGCTAGTTTTATCAGTGTAGATACTCTTTGAGGCTCAACACTTGGGGAGCTTTGCGTGATTGATCACAAAGAGGAAGATTGCAAACATAGGGATGATCCAATCAAACAACATACATGTGCAAGAGACTGAAGTAATGAACTCTAGTGGACTTAGCTTGCTCATGTAACAATTTCATGCCGTCTTGTTAATCTCTGCAACTTCTTAATTTGTTACTTTATCAATTAAACTAACCAGATATATATTGGGATAACATATTGTATGTTATTTATTATTTTCCGCTGTGTGATTTAATTATTCAAATTAAATTTATCTAATAATATGTCCGGAAACCCTACAGATTCCATATCCATGTTTCTGCGTATATGCATGCCAATATATGCATCCGAATTCTTTAGCACGGTTGAGTAAGACATGTGTATCTATATATACTATATGTTTGTGTATAAATTATGTTTCTATATGTTTTGACTTTTATGTATCGTTAATTTTGTACAGATGCCCTTGTATCAATACTTTTGTACCTATACTTCCATATTGGTACTTCTGTACCTATACTTTCATATCTATACTTGTGTACCTATGTTTCCATATGTATACTTCCGTACCTATGCTCCACACCGATACTTCGCTATAAAAACTTGCGTATCTATGCTTCCGTACCCATGCTTCCATATTAATACTTTCGTACATATGCCTCCAAATTGATACTTCCGTATAAATAGTTGTGTACCTATGCTTCCATATCGATACTCCCGCATCAATGCTTACATATTAATACTTACTTCTATGCCTCCATACCTATATTTCCATATAAATACTTGCGTACCTATTCTTCCATACCGATAATTAGATACAATGTATATTCACTTTGACTTTTTTCTATGTGCTCTGAATAATGGTTTCAAGTTTATCTCTTTGCATTTTTTTCCTTTTCTTTTTAAATGTGTAACTAATATTTTTTTGGTATTTTATCATTTAGATTCATTTATTAGGAGAGAAAGTCAAACATAAATCAGTGACTAAGGGCTAGTTTGGTATTACTGTGCTTTTTAAAATGATGCTTATGCTGTAATGTGAGAATAAACAGTTGTAAAATAAAGTTGTTGAGTGTTTAGTAAATTTTTTTGTAAAAGTGCTTTTAAAAAAAACCAATGTTTTAGTGTTTGGTAATCTTTTATATAAAATTGATATGAATATGTTAAATTAATTAAAAAAAAATGGCATTGAATGTGATTTAATAATTTCTGAAAAGAATACTGCAGGGGCAAAGATTGTAATTTTATAAAATATATGAGAGTATAATTGCCATTTAAAAATTTCATTAAATGGCCATGGTTCACTATGCTTTGAAAAAAAATTGAGAAGCATAATAGATCTACTTCTGCTTTTATTTGCTTTTTATACCATCATTGATAGAAGTTTTTTAAGAAAACACTTTTTTTTTCTTTTTTTTCTTTTTTTATGTTTTGCTAAACACATTTGATGTTTCAGATTATTTTTTTTTTTTAAATAAGCTATATTTTGAAAAAGTATCAAAGCCTCAAACCAGCCCTAAAATTTATGGAGCATTTTAGAAATAGAAAAGCAGTAAATGTTAATAACAAGTATAAATTTTAATTTTAATGATGACGTGAATATTTATTCAAAGAATTTTATTCAACTTGTAATCTAACTTTAGGTTTTAATTGAATAATAATCTTTTCTAAGAATTGAAATTAAGAAACCCCTTAATAATATTACGCGAGTTACTGACTGCCATCGTATATCAATCATTTATTTTGTTGCAGTACATTTATATTTTATAAATTGATATTATATATTAAAGCTTTATCCAAAAAGATCCTTATTTTTCGGTAAAAATGGGGATCGTTTGTAAGGTTTACATCACATCAAATTTTAACGATTCAAACTGTTTATTTTTTAAATCTTCATTCATAGACCATTCTTGCAAAAAAATCAATTCAATCTAAAATCATTTACTCATTTGATTGTTATGATGAAATTTTAATATTTCTTAGAACATAGTATATATAAATTTCTTTGAACTCAATTAGATGCTACAAATATATTCGATTTTGTTAATATTTTATAAGAATGATCTATAAAGTGCAATTAAAAAAATTAGACGGTTCAAATGTTGAAGTTTGATATTGCGTGAGCCTCACAACTAATTCTTATTTTTACCTAAAAATTGAAATCCCTTTTGATAAAGCGTCTAATATTTGTATTAAGTTAATAGTGTTTAGAATATTACGTCACATCACACTTGAAAATTTTCTCGTTATTTACGTTAAATTATGCACGGATTATGGCCATTAGACCTACATGGGTTGTCAGTCTGTGGTCTCTGTCTGAATAATCTTGAATGGACCCAAATAATATTAAGAGCTAAGACGAATCTGTGGCAAATGAGCGAGTGGGGCACTCGAATCAAATTCATATGACTCGGCTGCTTTCAATGAGTGCTACTGAGTTATCTCGGTTTATCTCGAGCGGGTTGCAAAGACTTTGGGATACATATGTGGATTGATTGGGGTTGGTGTATGGAATTATTGCCTGCAAACTGACAGTATCACTTCAGTTCCTCATTTGAAGGCTGCGTCTGTGTATTGAGGATGTCCATAACATTTTGTTAGCTGATGCAATCCTCATCCATTTGGCTTTTAGCCAAAATGATTATTTATGAGATTTGTATAACTTCTTATTTTGATTCTTGATATTTGAAATCGATATAATTGATTCCTGAGTTTATCCACCATCAATCATTTTTCCATGAAAAATATCCATAAAATAAAGATAAAATAACAAAAATACCCTCAATTTTTGTCAATTCATTTTGACCTATTGTTTATTATAGGCTTTTTAGTTAAAATGGTTCATGAGATTTGTCTAACTCCTCACTTTGGTTCTTGAGATTTGAAATCAATAAAAGTAGTCGATGAAATTGTCCATTATCAATCACTTTGATCATTTGGTGAAAAATTATGTTAAATAAAAATCCAAGTGACAAAACTATCCTCAATATAATAAAAAATAGGCCAAATAATTTGACAAAAATTGAGGGTGTTTTTGTAATTTTATCCTTATTTTATGAAGATATTTCACAGAATGACTAAAATGATTGATAGTGGACAAACTCAGAGGTCAATTTTATCGATTTCAAATCTTAGGGACTACTTTGGCTAAAAAACCTTTATTAAATTGAGGGTAATTTTGTTATTTTGATCCTTATTTAACAAAATTTTTTACCAATAGACCAAAATGATTGATGGTGAACAATCTTATGAACCATTTCTATTGATTTTAAATATTAGGGATCAAAATTAGGAGTTAGACAAATCTCAGAGACTAATTTGGCTAAAAAGCCCATCCATTTATAACTAGAAGTTTCTAAATGCTTTTCATTTGATTCATGTTTTAAAAAATCCTAGACTGTTCTGGTGTAAGGAATATTTTGTTTGCCTTAACCGTTATATCCTATTTTATTTTATTTTTAAATAAATTTTGTAGTTGCAAACTAAAATCAATGAAAAGTAAAAAAGTGGTCATGATTCTAACGGTTGTTTTGAGAAGAACGAAGGTAAAACAAAAATGATAGATACACTTGTATCCAATCTTCTTTTCGAAACTTCCCCAGAAGTGGAAGAGAAGACCCAAGATTAATTGTATAAAATCTTTTTTCACATTTGTCTTTGATGTTGGTTGGATGAAGAACGCTAATCCAAAGATAGTATGGGGGGCATAAAACCATCCAAATTGAAAAAACTTGGACTTGATTGTCAGAGGAGGGATTGGAGCACCATCAGACAATTTTCCAGTTGCCTGTGAAGGAGGGAGTATACCATCAGTCACGTAGAAGCAAGATGACAATGGAAAGATTAGTATTCTTCTTTACTTATAAATGAGATCAAGTCTTAGTTTTGATTCTCACCAAAAACGAAGTTAAATCATATTATTATGACTGACTCATTGTGAGGTTTAGCCCACTCCCCCACACCTCCACCCCACCCCCTCCCCCACACCCCCCACCCCCCACCCCTCCC